GGTTCTTCCTCGCCTATCAAGTAGACAAAAAAAGTAGAACACTTTTGTAGGCTGCTTCAACAGCCACGCAGGTAGACTGATCACCTTTTGTCGTTGTTGTAACGGTGAAGGCCGCAGTGAGTTTCTGTTTTCCGCGCCAGAAGTTGGAGGTCCCCATAAACTGAATAATTATGTTAATTCTTATAGATATCCACATTGTTAATGAATGCGTAACGCTCAACAGTTTTTCTTTGATATTTTAAGAATATGGTAATTGATTTATATGGGGGGGTGCCTCCATGTTTCTCAACGTGAACACCTAATATAAACGGTAAGATTCGATTCAAAGATTTATGACATGATTTGGTATGTAGAAAACGTTTCTATTGAATATAATTTTTTATTTAATTCACATCGTGAATAATGAGTTTCCTTCCGTTCTTACTTACTTACGGAGCTGAGCCCTTCTTGAGAAGTCGCCAGTTGTGCACCTACTTAAGAATTTCCCAGCATTTTATGGAACCCAAAGGTTCATTACCGTGTTCACAAGAGCCATCCACTGGTCCGTATCCTGCGCCAGATCAATCAAATCCATACCATCCCATCCTATCCCTTTAAGGTTCTTCCCAGTGGTCTCTTTCCTTCTGGCTTTCCCACCAATATCCTATATGCATTTCTATTCTCCCCCATTCTTGCTACATGCGCTGCCCACATCATCCTCCTTGACTTGATCATTCTAATTATACTTGGAGAAGAGTACAAGTTATGAAGGCCCTCATTATGCAGTTCTCTCCTACCTCCTGTCACTGCATCTCTCTTCGGTGCAAATATTCTCCTCAACACCCTGTTCTCAAACACCCTCAGTCTATGTTCCTCCTTTAATGCCAGAGACCAAGTTTCACACCCATATAAAACCACAGGCAAAATTATAGATTTGTATATTCTAATTTTTATGTTCTCGGACAGCAGACAAGAAGACAAAAGGTTCTGGACTGAATGGTAGCAAGCATTACCCGAGTTCAATTTCTTCTTAATTTCCTCCTCAACCAGGTTTTGATTTGTTGTAGTCGTTCCCAAATATCTGAACTGTGCCACATTTCCAAAACATCTGTTTCCTATCGGTATATCATGATTTTGCCCTGCATTTTGGTGACGAGACAGCAACATTTCCTTCCGTTCTTACATTGCATAAACATTGCTTATCTTATTTATCATTTGTCTTAGCTTATATCATTTAAAAAAATATTATACGAATGTCATTCGAAATACGTTACCACTATAACAATTGCAGGAAATCTGTGGCATAAACTAAGACAAGTACTTTGTTGCAGATCCTTGTTTTGATAAGTAAAGCACTCGAATAATTTAAATTTATAAATTTAAAACTATCGACTATCTGACTGATCTTGAAATTTCGATCTATCCCTTACTGCACAAATTTTACTTAAAGGGATTAATTATGATTGCCTGAAAGTGTTAGAGTAAAACGAATTGGCATGAAGCGCGGAGTTGATTTTAGAGGGATCTGGCCCGAAGAAACGTATTAAATTAAAATGAGTAAGCGGAACTCCCATGTCGCATATAGATCATCGTACATTATGCTTCCAGCTTATGACCGAGCAGAAGAGCGCAGTGATAGCAGATACACTCGGTTCAAATTTCGGTTGCGCTACACATGATCACGACCAATTTATTTCGCAATATCTTCACGAAAATGGCGAAATAGTACTTGTACTTTTCGACAAATATAATTAGAATGCTCAAGTCGGGGAGGATGAAGGGGGGCACAACATGTAGCACGTATGGGGGGGAAGGTGAATGTATACAGGTTTTGGTGGGAAAGCAAGAAGCAAAGAGGCCGCTAGGAGGACATCCTAGATGGGAGAATAATATTAAGACGGATGTTAGAGAAGTAGGATGGGGTTATATGGACTGGATTTATCTGGCTTAGGATAGGGACCAATACAGGGCTGTTGTAAACAATGTAACGAACCTTCCGTTTCCATAAAATAATGTGAAATTCTTTGAGTACCAGGAATTAATTAAATAATTTTCCTGGGGAGTAAAGTGCGGCCGGCGTCTAAGGCTGACAACCTTACCGCAATCTTTGAGCCGATTGTCTAGATAATGTGGGAACCTCAACATCTCACAATCCTATGCGCCTCCACAGCCTGTTACAGGGAAAGCTTTACTTTTACTGTGAAATTCTTCAGTAGTTGAAAGACAGATGACTTGTCAAGGCGGACTCAGCTCAATGGAGTTAGTCTCTCTAAAAAGACAACGACGACTTCTTTCCAAATTCTTCCACATATTTGTGATCGCTGTTGCTTTCGACGCTACATAGCTTCTGCAATACAAAGAGTTTCGTCAGATAGCCTGACACTCAGTAAATCTACAATCAATGCTCCTGTACTTCGCGTACAAACAATTAATGGCAGAGTAAAAGGGATTGATGCGGAGAGTAAGCTACTGGTGTCTCACCGCGAAGGCTTTGGTTCATTCCCAGAGAAGTCTGTGTGGGATTTGTGGTGGATAAAATGGAAATGGGACAGGTTTGTCTCCTGGTACTCCGGTTCTTATTCTATCAATGCTGAACTCCCTCGCCTCATCCGGGGCTGCCACAATCGGCTCATTTGAGGACGCAGCACCAAGGGACCAAGTTTCACGGTACCACAAGAATTATAGAAAAGGGAACTGATAAGGTACATTAGGCTATGTTCACTATGGTCCCGAGGTCGAATCAGCCTCTAATAGAATGAGTAAAAGTAAAGTAAAGGTATCCCTGTAACAGGCCGTGAAGGCCCATAGGGTTGTGAAACGTTGAGGGTCCCACATTATCTAGACAGTCAACTCATAGATGGCGGTAAGGTTGTCAGCCTTACGCACTGGCCTCCTTTTACCTCCAAGAATATTTCTGGTACTCATTTCTGTTAGAGGGTGAGTCGACCCCATGGCCATGGTGCGGCTGGAAGGATTAGGTAAATTGAAAAAATCCACCACATCGGGATTCGATCCCGCAACCTTCCGGCTTGTAGCATAGTGCCTCAACAAGCTACGCTATCGGAGTACCAGAAATATTACTGGGGCGTAAAGGGCGACCGGCGCGTAAGGCTGACAACCTTACCGCCATCTTTGAGCCGATTGTCTGGACAATGTTGGACCCTCAACGTCTTATAATCCTATGGGCGCCCACGGCCTGTTACAGGGATAGCTTTACTTACTTACTTACTTACTTACTTACATTAGACTATGTGTCTTCTATTGAGGTAACAGTTAACTGCAGCCCCTTACTTAAAACAAAATGAAAATAAGGCAAAACTTTTCAATGGTACTTTTGAAGATTGAACTTTTTTTGTTGCTTTTTTTCGTGACAGCGATCTGTTAAGTCTACTATGACGTATCTGTGTAACATAAGATTCATTGACCGTATCCGAGCATTGAGATAAAGTTTACTGGCTTCAAATAAATATTTATAATCTAAAAATGGATTTAAAAAAGTCACAGTTATTGTTATCAATAGGTTCCATTTCGATGATTAATTCCTCTGAGACCTTCTGAACACTGAAGTCTCTGATACAGGGTTATACACACTCAGCTTAACGGACAGAAATTGTGCATTCTATCTGATATAATATGGAATGAAACATTAAAGACTGCTTGATGAAAGGTAAAGGCAAAGTTGTCCCTGTGCTTAATTAGTTAAGCACTATGCCGTGAAGACTTATGAGACATTGGAAGTATAACTTTGCCTCTCTGAAAATTGGTATAAGCTGAAAGTGTGTGGTTAGCTTCATGCCACTCCAGCTTTACCCTCCTCTACTCCTTGGCTAAGAGGCTGGGTGGACCCAAGGCCGGTCTGGATGCTACTGAAAAGAGAGAAATCGCCTGTCTCCGCTGGGAATCGAACTCCAGCCTTCCAACCCATAGCCCTTCGCTATACAGACTGAGCTATCCCGACTTGCAAGATTGCTTGGTATGCCTAGATATACGCGTTTCCTCTTTATCCATTGTGACATTTGCAACTTTTAAATATATACAGTGAATGGTTGCATTTTCAGGGCAAATATACAGAGTGATTCTAAATTATTGTCGGGATATTCGCTTATAAGCAATGGATACCCCGACAATAATTTAGAATAATCCTGTATTATTGCATTTTGTTAGGCATACGCTTTGCTAAACTCTACAGGGAGACGGTTAAACGAACAGTACTCTTACTTGTGAGACTTAAGATTTTCGCAGCCGTGACAACGAAAAATAATAAGCCTATCTTATGGGATGTGACGCCCTCCAGTCCGGTAGAAATTTACATACATTTAGATTGACTGTACCTCCTCCATCTTGTTTCTTATTAGGCCTGCTTTTCGATATTCAAGATGGAGGCAGTGCGATCCTCCGCAATATCGGTAAACTTCTATCACATTACACGGTGTTACATCCTAGAACTGTTCCATGTTCTCAGTTTATTTGCAGATGTGTCTGAACGGTGAAGCTTCAGGAAAAAATCTCATACACTCTTACTCTTTGCTAGGATTTCGGAGGGAAACTTAAACGGATACAAAAAAACAGAGCAAAACAAACTCCGTGGCATGTAGTCCGCAAATGAACTCTACCGACCGAGCTACCGCCGCGTGTCAGCTAAGTTAGTGCCAACTTTAGCGGACAGAGGGCGTCGCGTGATCAGCGCAACGGATCCCCACGCCGTTAATTTCGGTTTTCTAGACCGGATCCGCTACTTCTCCATTCAAGTAGCTCCACAGTTTTCCTCACGAGGATGAGTGGACCATGTTCCAGACCCACTACTTCTCAGAAAATCTGGTAGCGCCGGGAATCGAACCCGAGACCTCTGTACTGGTGGGCAGGAACTCTGACCACTAGACCACAGAGGCAGTCTTAGTGTGTAACAGATTTTCATACTTTTCTTTGCAGATGTTATTGAGTGCTGTGGTTCCATACAAACTGTCACGTTCTATTACGCTTTCTGATGCATAAATAACACGTCCTCACTTGTCTCTTTACAGATATGGCTGAGCGTTTAACAAACCTGTTGGGCCGCGGCGAGCCTTTGATCACCATGGCAACAAGTGACGATGAAGACGAAGACGAAGAAGAAAAAGAAGACAATGAGGCAAATGATCGGTGTGGAAGCAACATGGAGGAGGACGAATGGATATCAGGGGGTGACAACAGCGGTGAGAGGGACCATCGTCTCCTGCTAGCAGGCTACTCCGATTGCATGACAGAAGCGTTGCGTTATCTGGTAGAAGAAGAAAGGTATTCCCCGGAACACCCGGTAGTTGAGGGACTGCGCACACATCTCGCGCAACAACAAGACCGGGTACTGTTAGAAGCTGCGCGCGCACATCATCATCATAATCATCATCGTCACGTGGTACATTTGGACAATTCTAGGCCCACAGTGAACAATAATAATAATAATAGCAGTCAGGTGGTGGAAGTGCGCAATCGCATGGCGCTCCTGGCGGACACATTGTGCAACATTAGGCCGCCAGCTGTGTAATTAGATTAAGAGTCTCAACAGAGTACACCAGTTCAGTCGATATATCGTTTCTTTGTATCCGGTTTTCTTTGAGCTTAATTAGAAAATGCAGCAATCTCTCGCCAACTTCAAGCACCGCGTTCGGCAGGACCAAAGCCTTATGTGAAATTGGAGTTAGGGGAACAGCGGCTGCTGTGAACTCTCCCCAAAGCCTACGTTGCCTGTTTCTGCACCAAACATGGATACGAAAAAATGTTTGAAAATAAAAATTTATTGAACTAAAGGCTTATTAAATTGTTAAAACAAAAAACGAAATGAAGCTAGAAAACTGGTTTCGGAAGCCATTACAGCCCCCCCCCCAAATTTCAATACCTTGAACGAAGCCACGGTTCCTTCCGTTTCTAAGTAAAGCAAAGTTGTCCCTGTGCTTAATTAATTAAACGTGTGGGATGTGGAGGAACACGAATAGCTACAACATTCTTGACCTCGGCACTAGACGGAGGTGAATGGTCAGCTTCACGCAGCGGCCTCTTTAATCCCTGGGAAATAGCCCATGCTACCCTCTGGATGCGAAGATGGGTGAGCCCCAGAGCATGTCTGCGCGCTATGGAGAAGAGAAACCCGATACAAAGAAAAAGGAGGGCCTGTATTAAATTTGTATGGCAACCGCCGATATATGAAACACGCATTGGCAAGGGATTGCTGATGATACAACACCTTGAACACGGACTGGCTTGTAACTGTAGGTATCTGCAATACCTGCTGTCTCTGATAAAGCTCATAAAGCAAGTATTGGAAGAGAACAGGAGAATCTAATGAACTCAAGCCATGTGATGTACAGAAGATACTGAACCCTTCAGAATGACACAGATAATTTTAATGATGTGCCACTGGAACCATATATATTTAAAAAAAAAGTGTGTGAATGACGTCACTGATGAGTTAAAAACTCGGGTTTAATGCACAATGCATTTATTTAGTAGAAAACGTCCACTTGTATTCAACAGAGTTGGAGAATTTGTTTTAAATTGTTCTTAGGTTGTTATGCCGTGTGGTTGTTTATGGTTGTGCCGCCAATTCAGACGTAAATGTTGCATCCATCTTTAGGATCAAACTACTTAAGATCAAAGTCTAAAATGAATGTTTTAAAATGTGAAGCCATGTTTCAGAGGTTGAACTAACTTCCATCTTTCATCTTCATATTGACAACATTCAAATAATACATATAATGTCCTCTTAATCCTGTTGTTTTGCATATGCATGAAACTGATAGTCTATTCAGCATAAGGAACACAGTTTTATTGTGTTTGAGAGCCAAGTGGTGGGCAGGATATTTGTATTTAAGAAATATAACAAGAGAACTGAGAAAGTTACATAACAAAGAAGATACTAAAGGCTTCTGACAATGGTGTGTATCATTCAGAATTTCTAGGTTTTTGGACTTTGTCCATCGTCCGGTATTCTAGAAACTAGAGAACACAACGTTGAGGTCAGCTGTTTCTATGGGACCCAACAGGGTGTGTGTCTCCATCTCACCTGAGGACGGAAACAGATGCAGTTTCCGAAACATTATGTTCTCTAGTTTTTAGAGTACTGGACGATGGACACAGTCCAAAAAAACACAGTAATTCTGAGTACATTTCAAAGAGTTTCTTACTTTGTAGATCCAGTCTTTACCTAATTCCGTAAGGTCGTTGAATAAAGACATGTCTAGTGAACGGATGTATAAATTGCAAGGGGAAAATGGCAGAAGAATTCGAATTATTTTGGGGAAATCTGAAGTACTGAAGTTGCTGAATAGACTCAGATATCTATGATTGGTTCTTTCTTGATCGACTAAGTAATTACCAACTTTTATATGCAGATATATTTTCATTGGAATTGGTAATTATTATTCTTTTACCTGTCTTTGCGCTGTTGACTGGACGATCAGATTACTCGTATTTTTTTTTGCAAAGCCTCCTCCCTATTACGCATGCGTGGTCCATCTCTAGTTAATTATATTTCCCCCTCCTAGTTTTTTATTTCGCCTACTAAGAACTGTTTTTCTGGACTTTAGTTTTTTATATTATGTTAATAATACAAAAAGAAAACATTTTCAAATTGAGGTCAGCCAATGATTGCCTGTCATTCTATTTAAACCTGATTGGAGCTAAAATTGCGAAACTATTCTGACTATTCTTGGCCTGTGGTAAGTATTCAGATGCTTCACAAATATCAAGGACATTTTCTTTATTCTATAAACCCATATTTTAAATTAAGATTCTCAAGTAAATGGTAAGATAATGGTGACATTTTAGGATCATTAAAATTTTGCTTAAAATAAGAATGTGATAATGACAGTCATCCTTAATTGTAAGAAGTTTGGAATATTATTTAGTTAGAACAAGGATCTGTGAAATCATTATCGACAGTTTTCAGAAATGATCTTAACAGTTCACGAGTAATTTCATGTATAATTTGAAAGAAATTCAGTCTTTAAATTGTTAGCGCATGCGTAACACGTACCTCAGTGTTCAGTAACGTAGAATATTGATATTAGGTGCATATTAAGGGGTGCAGCCCGTTTTGCAGAAGACAACATATTCTAGATACAACCAACCATCCGAATCTGTAACAAAAATTATACGTGTTTTCGTGTACTCGGAAACTAAGTTTTGAAGCTTACTTTATGAGCTTCTTGCTATAAAGTGCTAAGTAACTATTTACTTACTACTCAGGATTATACTGTCTGCTATTACCTATCATTTAAAATTGACTTACTTTCCTTGTTCTAAAATTAACCCAGTCCGTGTATTTGTTAGGCGGTGTGGGGGACAATAAGGGAGCCGGAATAGTTCAGTCGGTATAGCGACTGGCTAAGGGCTAGACGACTGAGGAGTCGGAGTTCGAGTCCCTGTATGATCAATAATTTTCTCTTCTCCACGTCGTCCAGACCGACTCTGGAGTTCACATAATCTCATATCCGATGCGAATCGGGGGCGCTTTCTCCTAGAATAAAGAGGCCGGGGCGTGAAGCTAACTATTTGCCTCAAACTAGTATCGAGGTAAAGGAAATGTGGATCTATACATCCACTCCCCCCTAAGCTTAGTGCTTAATCTGTTAAGCACATGGACAAAATTACCTTTATGGGGGATAATATTAAAATGGACTAAATGCAATAGGATGGGGACGAGGACTGGATCCATTTGTTGCGGGATAGGGACCAGCGGGGCGCTCTTTTAAAGAAGGCAAAGAGCCTTCAGGTTCCATAAAAAGCTGAAATTTTACTGAATTGCTTAGAAACTATAGAAACTACTTGTTTCTCAAGGAGAACTCATATCTATGGAATTAGTTAACTTGTAATCATAAATATTCCATTGGATATCAGCAGTGAACTGTGATAAAACAACATTTGTCTCATCAATGGTTCATTATTTCCCTTATATGAAACGTTATTGAATGGAATTCTATATAATTTGCAGTGAGATTACACGAATGCACAAAGCAAAAATTTGTAAATGAGTAGTCGACATATATCGAATATCTATCGATACTGGTGAAAACTTTATATTCATTCAACAACAGAATTCTCTCCCACTTACAGCCTTAAAAGACGAAGGCCTTAAAATGTTTACGTAAGAAAAGATGAGTAAATCTTTTTTACTAGTCCCATTTTCATTACGACTTTACAAATAAACTCACTCTTAATGTCATTTTGTAAATCTCTGTCATTCTTTCTCCATTTCTGTGGCACATTCATTCACTTTCACGAAAGAATAAAACAGCTCTCAGAACAGAAGCAGTGGCATTGAGCAATGAGAATGATTTTCTGCCTCATTTTTCATCGTCAAAACATGTCGTTCCTCTTTTTCTGCTCAGCCATACTGGTAGAGTGGAGACGAAGTTGATGCAAATGTTATTTCGTGTAATATACGAAAGTTAACTTGTGTGTTTTGAAATATTACCGCTTCTGTTGTGAAGGTTAAATAAATTGTAGTCACGAAATATATTATTTTGCTTCTCTCTGCCACGTTAAGGAAATGTCAAAGTTAAACAGAATAAAACCTCTTATGTGTTTTGCTGCACACTTGTCTTTGTTTCAAGGACTCTTAGATCGTGCGCGTCATTTCCTTTTCATTATAAGATGCCACTTTTCCGTATAAATCTAATGCCCATTGTACCATGAGGAATGCATCAAACTGTGGAAATATTATCTCCATATACGTCAGCTTGAATATTATTCTACTGTATTTCCATTATCAGTGGTAGTTTCTGAACAAAAAATCATTGCATCGTTTTCTTTAGGCACTCTCTATCGTCTAGACAAAGGAAGCTCTATGACGTAGCAGAAACTGCCTCTCTTTCGAAATAAGACAATTTCCTCATTCGATGCAGCCTATTAGGTGAAGCCAGCCTAATCACCAGGCGCTGGAACATGATGATAATGACCCTGATATGGGGTCTCTGTGATGTAGAATGACAAACCTTTCTTTGGGACGTAGTTCTAGAAATCAGATCGTCGAGCAGTAAGACACGTGGTTCCAGGTTGAAATAGTGACGATACAACCAGGTTTTCTTGATAGGTTTCAGAGGGAGGGAGGCGGGGATATGACCCTCCTCCCCCCTCCTTCCACCCCTCGCTACGCAGCCTGTACTTGAGATCACTGCTTTCAAAATACCAAAACTCGCCGTCGGATTTGCTCTGGCCCAACTAAAATTCTTCCCCTGAATTTGGCTTCGATTATCTTAGGGATACCGGATTTTCCTTTTCAGATTTCATAACAGTTTTTTGGAACTAATTACTTGTCTCATGATCATAAATACAATTTGGAGTACCCACCGAGATTACAGTAGCATAACATCGTATTATTTCATCTTATATTTTATTTCTTAATTTAATTGTAAAAATGAAAAGTGCCATTGATTAATATATATTGATGTTTCTTTGTAGTATAAATATTTACATAAAACACATCTTGGAATGGAAGGATTTATGAATGGTTACATGCAGTTACTATATTGTACAGGCATGAAATAAGAAAATATAAAAAATCTATGGTGTCAATTGATGAAATTTAGGCGGAAAAAAATAATAAGGGATGAGTCATACGTATGTACTACGAATGCCTATCGTAATAGAAATAAATCTATGGATAGTAAAAATAACACCCACCCTTACTTAAGGAAAATATTCCGCGCTAAGGGAAAGGAAGTGCTTTTTTCTTCTATCAGTCGATTTTTCGCTCATGTTTTGGTTAGGAATACACTGTACGGCTCTATTTCCACCTACCTTACGTAGAAGTGTGTGTGTGTGTGTGTGTGTGTGTGTGTACTAAGGGTGGTTGTTTCGGTCACGATGTTAAGATTGACAAACGTTTGTAAATATTTTCCTACTCATTTACTTTGTTAAACACATGTATCATGAGACAGAAATAGATGGAGGAAAATAACATTGTGAAACGTAAAAATAAATATTTACGAATCCAGCCAATATCTTGTGTTTAATTTTGTATTTACCTTTTCTTTACCTGAACTGCGACAGCCGGACTCCCCAGTTCCGAAGGAAACCATTACAGGGTGATTATGTGTTATACAGTTTAGTTACTATAGGATTCTGACGATGGTGTATAACACGCTGATATGTTGGGATTTTGGACTTTATCCATCGTCCTGGTTTTTAAGATAACAAATAAAAACACGACGTTTCGGAAACTGGATCTGTTTCCGTCCTCAGGTGAAGGAAAACACACAGTGGACCACTGGTCCAGTGATCGAGGCTGGCTCTTTCTAAGGGACCCAACTGAATAGGTGTTTTCCTTCACCTGAGGACGGAAACAGATCCAGTTTCCGAAACGTCGTGTTTTTATTTGTTATCTTAAAAACCAGGACGATGGATAAAGTCCAAAATCCCAACATATCAGTGTTATACAGTTTGTCTAGTATTTACGTGAAGGCAAGGTACCATGGAGGATTGTGGACAGACGGGACGTGAAATAACTGGGGAAATAAAAAAATGAGAAAAAGATGTTTACATGGGAACAGGCCAGACAACCTAAGCATCAAACACTAAAGAGGCGAATCTCATAAAAATGCTAACTTATAAAGGCTTGCGGAAAATACGTTGTCTGTTCCAGATTTATTGATTGTGAGGAAAAACTGAATGTATTTGAAGCCTCCTGATGATGGTGTACAGCAATTATTTTGACTGATATTTTGGAGATTGTGCTTTAATTAAAACTTACTATAACAACTAAAATCAATGGCTTGAGTCTACAAGCGAACTATACCGACCGAGTGACCGCCGCTTCTCGGCGAAGTTAGTGTCAACTTTAGCGGATAGAGGGTGTCGCGTGGTCAGCGCAACGGATCCCCACGGCCGTTAATCTCGGTTTTCTAGACCGGCGTTTAAAATTTACAAATCTTAAAATTCAAAAACCTGTTTTTCGTCAGATAACAGAATAAGAGTGATGAGCCCTACTCCTGTGCGTTCCTTCGAAGAACTAGTTTCAAGCCCTGATTCAGGGTTTTATGTCTTCTCTGAGTAGGCGTTCTGTTATTCTGTTACCTGATGGAAACAGAACCACGTGAAGACTGTATTCTGGGATATGTCACATAGCCTGCAGACATTTATAAAAGTTTCGGAGTGACATACTGCTTCCATTTTCAGGGTAAGTAAGCAAGTACTATCGTAGTGCCGTGAGAAACATAAACAAGTTTCCAAAACGGCGTAGTTTGAAGAAACAGTAACCAAAATATAGGTCGGGGAGGCAATGAAGGTGTCCGCAACTTAGCAGAACTTGTACATACAGAGTTAGTTCTGATTACAGTCCTCAAGTCCATTCATTGTCTTTTAATTTCAAGAGTAGAAGAGGTCATGAAGGCATCACGATAATCATGAAGACGAACGTGCACTGCTCCAGTTCTCATGTCCCGGGTTCGATACTCGTACACACAGCCAGCGCAACAAACAGCCTCATTTCACCAGGATGCCATTCAATGTCACTCAACACTATCACTAATAAACTTACACGAGCACTACAGAATGTAAACAAAGGAAGAACATTCAGTCTTCCCACCTGAAGTTCATTCAATGTAGCCTACACATACAAATTCTATCCACAAGTTCCCAGTGTTTCCATTCATTCAAAAGTTTCTTAATGTCATTTTTTTTAAAGTTGCCTCACTGTTTTGGATACGTATTAAATTTAATTTTAATATACTTTCACTTCTGGGTCACTTGCAGTTTTCTGTGCAACTCCCTACGTGTTGATTTCTTCGACCTTGAAGATAGAGTTGATACGTTCCTCGGAAACGTCGGTGAACACACTATCTACATGGCGCCACATCCCAGAAGACTGCTTTCTTAATAGTCACCGCGGTGAAAATCTCAAATCGTATTTATATAAACCCTCCGGGTTCGATCCCGGGTCTGATCAAGTGGGATTTGTGGTGGACAAAGTGGCGCTGGGGCGGGTTTTTTCCCAGTACTTCGGTTTCCCCTGCCAATCTTCATTCCATCAAATTCTCCATCATCATAATCACCCGGGGCAGGTTACTATAGGCCAATCATTGGCCGCCGTGCCGAGTGGACCCAGTTGGAGTCCACCCCCCACTAAGCTAATTATGTAAACCTTGCTTGTATTATAGATAATAGATGTTTCTCAATTCGTGTGAAGCCACATATTATATTAAAATGCTTTTATAAACTTGTATAACTTATATGTTACAAAGTGTGAGGTATTGTTCATCCTATACGCTTATCTTTGCTGCTTAAGGTTCAGTTTATTTATTAAATTATTTCAAAATTTGTCAGTATTTATTTTTTGACATTGTCACGTGTAGGGGTGACTATAGATTGGGTTTATTGACCACTTTCACACAAGACTCATGACTACAAATAATTACAGCGCCATCGCTAGTCTTCACAATTTACAAATCACTACAGCACACGCTAAGTCCTTTCCAATCTGCTGTCTCTTCACTAGTCGTTCCTTGGTAACGGATTTTAACAGTGCTGATTCTTCAGCTTCAGCGCACTTCGTTGCTCGCTGCCTCTCAGCTAACTCGGTTGTCCCAATTGCCCTCTTTATGAAATCTCAGCACGGTCCGCGGAGAAAATAACCGTTTATTGTTGTACTCGAAACTTTTCTGCGGAAACAACCCTGTCCGTAAAGACGTCACTCATCAACCGCTGCGTATTTCCATTCATTAAGAATCTGTTGCCTAGCAGCGGATATTGTTTCGTTGTTTGTTTCGAGGCTGTTGCCCAGTAACGGATCTACACGCTACAATATGTTATAAATTACGTGTTTAAGTGTTTAAAACTACAGTATTACAATACTGATGAAAGAGCGCCCTGAAATTCAAGAGGGAGTCAGCCTTCTTGCTCCTACTTTTTCTCTCTCGTATCTTCCTCCCTACTCCATTAAATCAATGAATTAAGTGCAGTTCTGGACACAGAATTTTGAACTGTGTATATGAAAAATATTACATGATAGTTACCTAGCACATAAGCGTCTCCTACTATATATATGGGGAGCCGGGATAGCTCAGTCGGTATAGCGACTGGCCATGGGCTAGACGGCCGAGAGGTTGGAGTTCGAGTCCCGGTAATGTCAAGAATTGTCTCTTCTCGAAGTCATCCAGACCGTCTCTGGGGTCCATCCAAACTTCTATCCAATGGGTACCTGGGGCTCTTGCCCCGGAGGTAAAGCGGCCGAGACGTGAAGCTGACNCATAATGCATATATGAACACCGTTCAAATACACATAAATGGCTTTTGGTGTAAAGAGTAGAATGAAATATGCAAATTATGGAAAAATACATACGTATCCAAATTTGACTTGAAAAACGACGAGGAAACTAAGAAATATCTCCCATTCTCGAAAGTGCAGTTTCATATCATAGTCCCATGTCTTCCACACGCCCTCGCCCCTTTGGATCTTGTCACGTAGTTCACTGTAGACGGGGTTTTGATTGATAATATAAATTTATTGAACACCTGCAGAAAGTAACTACAAATAACTACAACAGTCTCACTGAGATACACACTGCAAAGATTACTGTAACTACAGCACACATAAAGTCTTCTCTGTCTTCACTAGTCACCTGCTCACGCCGGTTAGCTCGCGGATTTCTTATTGTCTTCTACCCTGAAGATGGAGGCGGTACGTTCCTCCGAAACGTCGGTTAACACAATATCTACATGGTGCCATATCCCAGAAGACTGCTTTCTTCAGGGTTTACATAATATTTCCGAAGTTCTGTCTGTTTCCTCCGCCATGTGAGTGTCAGTGTGGTGGGACGGTATGGCGGTCAAACACGCTGCTGTAAGCAACATTTTTTACCCTGACCACTTCCAAAAAAGGCAGCATAGCTATAACAGATTACTGCTTAATTTGTCAAGCGGTTGGCATATATATACGTACATATGTACGACAGAGATGCTCCAAAGAAGCCGTCAAAAATTTCTCCTGCCGTTGAGAGATTCTATGTTTTTACCTCTTTTTTCCTGTGGTCTAGTGGTCAGAGTTCCTGGCTACAGATTCAGATATTAGGGGTCGATTCCCGGCGCTACCAGATTTTTTTTTCTGAGAATTAATAAGTCTGGAACGGGGTCCTCTCAGCCTCGTGAGAATAATTGAGGAGCTATTTCAAGGAAATAGCGACTCCGGTCTAGAAAACCGAGATTAACGGCCGTGGGGATCCGTTGCGCTGACCACTCGAGACCCTCTATCCGCAGAAGTTGGCACTAACTTCGCGGCGGCGGTCGCTCGGTGGGTATAGTTCACTTTCGGATTAAAACCACGGAGTTTTTATCTCTATTTTCAAACAGCAACTCATCTAACTAGGATGGTTCTCGCGTTCTCTAAGTTCGACTCCATGCCACATTCCCCGGTTTATTTCTTACTTCTTGTTAAGTTTTTCTTCAGACCCATAGGTCATATTATTTTCCTCTTTCTCTATTACAACAAGAAATGTATTTCATCTATTATTATATTTTAATTAATTTTTTCCTTCCAGTGTTCTCGTCTCATTCAAATTATTTCCTTTATTCCTTGCTGTGGTTAATTTTTATCTTCATTTACTGCGTTTCATGTTCTCTCCAAGTTTTTTTTAATTCATATTTCTTTCATTTGGGTAGGGTTCAAGATGGAGGAAATATGCTGCCCCGAAACATAGTTACCCTTTTACAAAAATACTCGGTGCCACAACCCAGTTCACAGTCAGAAAAATCTTCTCCGAGAAAAGTTTCGAAACTTTATTTTTTTTTGTTGGATCTGACGTTTTCACAACTGCGACTGTGAAGTGTGTATAGTCTTCAGTAGTTCAGGGAGAGCATGATGTTTCGAAGGAATATATCGTCTCTGTCTTCAGGATCAAAAGTAAATAAAGGAAGAAACCAGCGGAAGTAAAATGCAGGGTGAGACCTTAGTTTGTTGCCTACTCCTGTTGGTTTCCTTTTTACTTTACTCTTCAAACC